GATGGCAGAGCCTGACCCCCACCCCACGCATGCCTGAGCATCCTCCCTGCCCACAGGATGTGGAGGATGGCAGGTCTTCTCCAAATAAGAGGTTAGCCAGAATCTGGACTTTGTGACAATAGCCCTGGTTCGGCCCAGGCTGGGGCCAAATGCAGGTTCCAAGGCCACAGAGTGGGTGCCCAGGGGTCCCCAGCTCAGACCTTGCCCTCTCCTGCTCCAGCACCACCCTCTGGGGTCAAATAGGCCATGTGTGCGGTAAGCGTGGCTCCTCCGACTATGGACGGGGGTCCTGGGGCTGCCTTCCAGGACGTGGAATCCCCCAGGGGGGTTACTCTGAGCTCTGGGCCACCGTGGGGGGTGGATAGCACCTTAGGCATTCTGACTTTCCAATGGTTTCTGGCCAGCCCTGTGAGGAGGAGGGGTGGCGGGTGGCTCTGACTCCTCCTAGCCTGCAATCTGTGGCCCTGCCCCCTGGGCCTGGCTCCCGGCCCTGCAGCTCCATTGTCCCAGACCTGTGGGCTCAGCACACGTGAGCTGAGCGAGGGCTTCCCCACGCCCCCACCACAGGATGTCCTCCTGTGGGAACTGCCCGGAAAGCCACCCGACCAAAACCAGGGGTGGGGCAGCCGGTCTGCCCAGAAAGCTCTCCTCGAACAAACAAAGACCACGGGGTTGGGGGGTGGTGGGCAGGGGAAGCTTCTAGCCTGGGGGCCCGGCCCGGGCTGGTCTTTATTTCCAGCAGAGCTGCCTGCTGGCTGGGTGAGCCTCTGTGCCCCATCGGACGCGGTTCCCACGTGCAGGCCTTTGCCTGTGCTGTTCCTTCTGCCGGGAACATTCTCCCACATCCCCACCCCGGTTGTGTTCAGGCCCCTCCGCTGGCCTGTGACATCTCAGAGGGCCAGGAGGGGTCCTCCCTCCTGTCTGCCCTGAGTGGAGGGGAGGGCTGCAAAGAGGGATCGCACCTCCCTCCTGACCCCAGACTCCTTAGTCCCCAAGGGGAAGGCACAGAGGGGCAGGCAGTGGTCCAGAGTGTCCCTGCCTGACTCACTATGTCATCTTGGCCAAGTTCCTCCACCTCTTGGGGCCTCAGTGGCCCCTGCTGTAAAATGGGGACAGACATGGGGAAGCTTAGATGGGCTAAGGGCATGTAGGTGCTTGGTTTGTGTGTCGGGCTGGGGCCAGCAGCTGGGGACGAGGTGTGCCTGCTTCTGACAGGTGTTCACCTATGGTCCTGGGTGCTTCTGCCCACCCGAATGAGCAGGCATAAAGCCAGGGGTCCAAAGAGCCTGGAGGGGCTGCCCTTCCTGCTCCACTGTGGGTAGTGGGGAGGGGATGGACCAGGATGGCGGGGGTCTGGCTGAGCCCTGGGTCACATCCCTTCAGCACCTCTCCGCCCACCCACTGGGGACTTCTTCCAGTGCTCCACCTTGGTGGGGGAGAACGGAACATGCTGCGGTTCTCTGTTGCCCTCTGAAAACCAAACCCAGTCCTGGTCCTTAGGGCCCAGTTCTCCCTCCATGGCCTCATCTCCCAAGGCTTCCTCCATAGCCTTCTCATGCTGCAGCCTGACCCTTCCCCTTGCTGTCCCCAACACACTGAACTTTCTCTGACCTTGAGAACATCAGCTGGGACCTTCCCCCTTCCCAGCCTGACAGTCTGTGATGTGATTTAGAGCAAGGACTCTGGAGTCTGCCAAACTGGGGTTTAAATTCTGGCTGAGCCACACACTAGCTGTGTGACATCACTTCTTTCTGCCTCTATTGTCTCCTCTGTAAGATGAAGATAATAGTGAGACTCAACAGAGATAATCTGTGCATATGTCAAGGGTACATCCCGGGGCCTTGCCTGTAATAAGTGCTCCATAAATGAACTGTAGCTATTATTAACAATAAGCATTATGCAACATTAACTATTATACAATATTGCTTAAAAGATTTGGAATTTATATTTTCGTATATATTGATTTTAAGTATTATCATCATGGTAAACTCCTATGCATGCTTCAATGCCCAACTTTGACATCACCATCTCCACGAAGCCTCCCTTCACTATCCTGGCAGGATCTGGTGCTCCTTGCTGGTTCCTCAGCATTTCAGCCTTTTAAGCTGGGCAACCCATGGGCAAGATCTGCCCCCTGGCCACACAGGAGGCAGCTCCTACTGTGATTCTTTCTGTGCATTCCCTACCTAACACAGACGGGCACAGAAAGAACGATTCTCTCTCCTCCCCCCAACATGCGTAAGTCCCCATGCGACTGGAAATCTCCTTCCTGCCCACATCCTGATCTGACCTCAGGCGAGTCCTGAGAGGCAGGCCCAGCAGGAAAAATTCTTTCTCTAGGTGTGAGGAAATAATTTCTGCCTTGGCTAATCCAAACAAGGGCCGAACGTTGACCGAGGCTGGCCCACTCTGGGCAAGGTGTGGCATTAAGCACCTTGCCTACGCTCTCTCGCCCAGTGCTCAGGGCAACCTTAGAGGGCTATTTTTATCTTCATTTTTCAGATGAGGGAGTTGGCGTGCCTGAGCTTGTTTATACTGGCTCCTGGGAGTCGACTGTCAAATTTTCAGGAATTGTGTGAGCTGCTTGTTAAACACAACCATTGTTAAAAACTAAATTATTTAAACTTACGATTAAATAATCTATATTAAAAACAAAGGTAATAATACTCAAAGGTCATGACTTCCTAATTATTTTACTACATTTAACTATTATCTATATTCCTAAGGTTAATGATGTCTATTTTATCTGGGTGGTAGAAACACTATACAACGGTGTGTTGCTACACATCTTCCCGACTCTGATCAGTGGCATTATGTTGGTGGCTTGGAATCAGCTACGGTGAGAGCATTTATATTAAGAAAATTAGCAAACACTGCACTATGTCAGGGCTCCCTGGCCCCTTGTTCAGAGAGCCGATTGTTAAACATTTACCAGCACACCACTGAAGCCAAGAACAGAAAGGCTGTGACCTAAGGTTACCAGCTGGGAAGGAACAGCGCCGAATTCCAGCCCAGGCAGTGAGTCTCAGGTGCCCACACTTGTGTACCTCTATGCTGATTCTGCCCCAAATCGCACAGAATTGGGATTAATAGGTCTCCCCCTGCCCCCACCACCCACACACACTCACTGGCCTGCTCTTGCTGGGGTTGCAGACGGGCAGTCACTCCTCCAGCCCAGTCCAGGCACCTCTGCCCAGCCCTCTGGCCTCTTGCTCCCCTCCCTCCGTCCCTCCTTCCTCCCCTTCCTTTCTCTTCTTCCAACCCCACCTCACCAGGGACTCAGGCTTATTGGGGAGCATCCGAGACCACGCACACATTCAGCCTGGCGGTCAGAGGCCAGCCACTGGCTGCCCTGTCTGCCCACCCCGGCCTTTGTCTGGCCATCTGCCCGTCAGCTGTGGGACTGCCTCCCGGGGGAAGGGATGGGGGCTGCTTCGCTGTATGACGCAGGGTCTGCCCCATGTTGTTCTGGGCCCCTTCATCCCACCTGGGACCTCCAAGCTCCCTCCCATCACGGACAGTGGGCGCCCCCATGGAGTCCTCTAAAACTCTGCTGCTCTCCTGTTCTGGAAGAACAAAGGCAGGTCCCATCACTCCTTTTCTCAGCATCCTCTAGTGTTTTCCTTTCTTACCCATGGAAGCCATGGTCATCACGGTGGGCCACAAGGCCATACCCTACCTGACCTGTCAACCTTATCTCCTACACTTTCCCTCCATCTCTCTGCTCCAGGCACTCTGGCTTCTTTCCTGTTCCTCCAACATGCTAAGTACACTCCTGCCCCAGGGCCTTTGCACTTGCTGTTCTTGCCCCGATATTTGCATGATTTATTTCCTTACCTTCTCTAGGACTTTGCTGACATGTCAACTTCTCTGACCGCCCTATTGTAAATTGTCACATCTGCTTTCTCTCTCTCACACACACTTATGCTTCCCAGCTCCTGTTTCGCCTCTCTCACCTTCTATAGCCCTTGTCACCATCTGACATCCTATGTTATGTATTTATTGTCAATTTCTCCTCACCAGAATGAAGGATCCACAGGGCAGGACTTTTTGTCTGTTTTATTCATTGCTGTATCCCAAACACCTAAAACAGTGCCACAGTGCCAGACGCATTGTAGGTACTAAAAAAAAATTGTTGAATGAATGGATGGTTGGATGGAGGGATGGGTGGATGAATGAATAAATGACAGTGTTTTCAACTGTCAGAAAAGCCTCTGCAGCTCCCTGGGAGTGAGGGTGGCTGTGTGACCTGGCAGGTGTGAGACCTGGGGTTTCTGGTCCAGGTCTGCCCTGATTTGCTGTGTGACTTTGGGTAGATCCCTTCTCTTCTCTGATCTTCTTTCCCAAGTATAATGAATGCAGTGTGGCAAAGTATAAGGGATACAGACTCTGGAGCCAGACAGATGGGGACTAATCCCCACTGGGACCTTTACTGCCTGTGGGGCCTTGGGCATGTCACTTTCCCCTCTGAGTGTGTCTCCTCATTTGTGAGGTGGGAGAGGGGTTGGAAAGATACACAAGATACTATGTGGTGAGCCCCCAGAGCAGAGCCTGGCGTATAGAAAGCACTCAATAAATAGATCTTTCCTCTTTTAAAAGGTTGGCCAGGCACGGTGGCTCACACCTGTTATCCCAGCACTCTGGGAGGCCAAGGCCAGAGGATTGCTTGAGCCCGGGAGTTCGAGACCAGCCCGGGCAACATAGTGTGACCCCATCTCTACAAAATAATAATAAATAAAAAATAAAAAGTACCCAAAGAGGGCTCACCCTAAACTGGACAAACTGTGGACCTTGCATTAGAGAGGATCCAGTAAGCCCTTTCCCGCATCCCCTGGGCATGGGCCTGGTGCAGGGGACCCCTCCCCGAGCTGCTTCCTGGGTCCCTGGCCGGGGCTCGGCTTTGTCTCGCAGGCACGTGGCCTCAAGCCAGGTGGAATGGGCAAGTGGGCCCTGTCAGGGGGACCCCGGGCCGCCCCTCAAGTTCCCCTCTCCCCGCACAGTGTTCATCTGCAGCTTCATGGTGGCTGCCCCCATCTTCGGCTACCTGGGCGACCGCTTCAACAGAAAGGTGATCCTCAGCTGTGGCATTTTCTTCTGGTCGGCAGTGACCTTCTCCAGCTCCTTCATCCCCCAGCAGGTGAGGCCCGCCCTGGCTTCCCACCCGGCGTCCCTGCTGGTCCCATCCCTGTGTCCTGGTCCTTCCAGCGGGTGGCGAGTCTCACTGGCCTGCGTTAGTCCAGCCTGGGCTTGAACCCCAGACAGCGTCTTCCCAGTGCAGAAGGATGAGCGGGTCTTTGGGTACGTCTATGAACCGGCCTTGTAGATAGGGCCTTCCGGCCTGAACTGAGGGACTCGCAGCCCTGTGTGGCGCCCTGACTTTCTGAGCTGTCCTCTGATCTGGGGCGGATGCAAGGACGCAAGGGACAGGGCGAGCAAGTCTGGCCTAGGGGTGAGGACCTTGAGCTCTAGTCCTGGCTCTGCCACTACTTGGCTGTGTGAACCCAGGTGAGTCACTACCCCTATCTGGTTCTTGCTCAGTTTGCTCAGCTAATTCCTTGGGTCAAAGTGCTGGGGAGGCGAACATCAATTCAACATAAAGAAGATGTTTCTCATTTGGCTCTCATCGTCCTGGATTTGAATATCCCAACTCTGTTGTCCATTCTGCTTTGTGACCTGGAAAAACTTACTTAACCTCTCTGAGCCTCAGTTTCCTCATCTTTAAAATGGGGCTAATACTTCTCAACTTGAAAGTTTCTTGTGAGAAATAACCGAGCTAATGAATGTCCAGACCCTGGAATGTGACAGGTGTTCAACAAATCATATTTCTGTTCTTTCTTCCAATGAGGAACTATGTTGCCTGTGAGGTAGTGAGTTTCCCACCACTAAGGGTATTCAAGCAGAGGATAGACAATCACATGACGGCTGCTTTAGAGAGAGATGGAGGAAGAAGGGGAGAAAATCAGGATCTGTCCTCAAGGAGCTTTCAGTCTGGCCCTGTCCTTGGGAGCACCCAGGCTCAGGGGTAGGAAGACGTGACAGGAGCTCCCATGCTCAGAGCCTTCAAGATGTGCAGACAAAGTGCTGAGAGTCCCCCCTGATGAGAGGGCAGTCTCTTGAAATCCATGGGGTCAGGGAAGGCTTCCTGGAGGAGGTGGCATTTCAGTGGGGTAGGCAGGACTGGGAGATTAGGCCTCTTGGTAAAGATAGCAGGGGCAGAGGGAGCAAACCTACAGAGGCAGAAATGGTGGCATGCATTGAAAGAGGAGGATTGTGTTTGGCTGTGAAGGAAGGCAGCGACAGAGGGCCTGGGCTTCCTCCCAGGGCAGCGTGGAGCCCTGGAAGAGTTTGAAGAGGGACAGGGGTGGGGTCAGATTGGGGTTGGTGGATGGGGGGAAGGAGGGCAGAGAGAATCTGCAGGCAACTTTGCTTCCTGGGGCAGCTTCATGGAAGAGGGTCAGGCGTGGTGACCTCCAAGCCCAGAGTGGCCAGTAGAGCCTGGCAGCCACAGTCAAAAACAGAAACTGGGCCAGGTGCGGTAGCTCATGTCTGTGATCCTAGTGCTTTGGGAGGTCGAAGTGGGAGGATTGCTTGAGGCCAGGAGTTCGAGACCAGCCTGGGCAACATAGTGAGACCCTGTGTCTGCAAAAAATAGAAATATTAGTTGAGTAACAGAATTCAACTTGTACCCTCTAAATCTATTTAAAAAAAAAAATTAGTAGGATGTGGTGGTGCACACCTGTAGTCCCAGCCACTTGGGAGGCTGAGGCAGGAGGATCACTTGAACCCAGGAGTTCGAGGCTACAGTGAGCTATGATCACACCAATGCACTGCAGCCTGGGCGACAGAGACCCTGTCTCTTAAAATAAAAAAACAAAAATGAAAACACAGGAGCTGGACCAGAAGCCTCTAGGACCCCTCTGGGCCTCATCCTGTGCCTGGCCAGGCCCCGGGTTGCTGACCTCTGGGGCTGCTTCTGGGACTGACCAGTGAATCCAGGACCACGATGCCAGTGCTGGGCCCCTCTTCATGTGCAGAGGGAGAGGGCGGGTGGGGAGAGAAGATGAGCAGAGGCAGAGAGAGAAACAGACAAACCACCCCAATTAATCTATAAATTCATAGCAGTCACAGTCTGAGTCCCCTGGGGGGTTTTGGTGGACCTTGGCAATGCAATTCTGAGAAAATGCCCAGGAACAGCCAAGAACATTGTGAAAAATAACAATGAAAGGGGATTTGCCCTATCAGTTATCAAAATACAGCTATTCCGACTAAAACAGCAGAGGGCTAGACCAAGATCAATGAAACAGAGTCCTGTAGCTTTACGGGGATTCAGTGTAGGATGAAAGTCGCATCTCAAACAAGTGGTTTGGGGAGAACTGACTGTCCATCTGCATTGAAAAAAAAAGTTTGGTCTGTATTTCAAACCATACTGCGGAATAAATTCCAGATAAGTGAAAGTCAAGCACAAAGCAAATTCTGAAATCTATAGATCAACAAGAAAAAGACAGCCTAGTAGAAAAACGGCAAAGGACAGTTCCAGGCAATTCCAGGAGACGATACCCAAACGACCAATACACGTAAGAAGAGTCGGTGCTCAGACTCGCTCAGACTCTCGAATAATCGGGGAACTGCAAATTGAAACAACAATGAGCTACCATTTCGCACCCATCAGATTGGCAGCAATTAAAAAGGTTGACAATACGGAGTGTTACTAAAGCTGTGGGGAACCGGGGACTCAGCCCTGCCGGCGGGAGTGTAAATTGGTGGCACTTCTGGAGAGCAAAATGGCAGGATATCGTAACACTAACCTGCCGCGCCCCAGCCTTCTGCTCAGGGGCTCAGACCCAAGAGAGAAGCTCCCGCGTGTGGACACGGCATGCAAGGACGTTCACTGCAGTCCTGCAAAAGAAAACAAGAGGGAAGCAATCTAAGTGACCAGCCCTGGGCGTGCACGCATGAATGGGCTGTATCATACTGTGAGATCCTTGACCGCAAAAGAATGAACTAGATCTTTATTAACCGGCATACGTGGGTTTCAGCAAGATAAGAATGAGAGGGAAGGGAAGTTACAGGGTGAGATGCATGGCGTGGTTCCTTGGATGTTGGCCGTTGCCTGCGTGTGCGAGCACAGGCGGAGGTGGGTTCACAACAGAGGCACAATAAGGCGGGTTCCCGTGGGTGGAGGGGGAACGGGAGCCCTCCTGCCGCTAGCGCTGAGGACGACGACTGGCGACTGGCGGGGTCTCTGCCGTCCTCTTTCTTTCTCTAAAATCTACCAAACAGTGTGAGAGAATGTCTTTGTAATTTTGGGATGGAGCAGGCCTTCTGAACAAGACGTGAAATCCAGAAGCCATTAAGGAAAAGTCAACAGATTTGGCAGCATCAAATTAAACAGAACAACCCGAAGCCCCCGCATGGTGAAACTCTCCACAAATTTGAAAGAAGGATGACAAAAACATAGATCATCGAGGATCGATACCTGGGATGCAGAAAAGCTGATATAAATCAATACAAATGAGACAAACAGCCCAACAGAGAAACAGGCCAAGGCTGTGGGCAGATGGTTTCCCAGGGAGAGAGACGGAGGCTTGGGGCTAAGGGAGGAAAGAAGGGGACAGCGAGAGGGTGAAGCAGCTCCAGGCGTCAGAATGGGGGTCAGAGGCAGTGGTGGCACCCGTGGGCACGGTGGGCCAGGAGCCAGGTGGGCGGATTGGGGGAGGAATCCGAGAGACGCTGGGGAGGGCTGGATGGGTGGTCAGGGTGGGGCTGGGGAAAGATGACCAGGCTGGGTTCTCAGGCCCTGGGCAGCTGGGGCATGGAGCGGGGAGGTCCACATCAAAGGGGCAGTGCCACCAGCAGCTGGTATGGCCCCACCCTTCCCGGCTCAACTGGGCTTTGTCCTTTGATGTGTGTATAGGGGGAGCTCTGAGCCCCCTGGGCTGTCCTGCCCCCTCCCCACTCACACTGGGCCGTCCAGTGCTGCCAGGGTTGGCCCAGCCACCCTGCTTAGGCAGGGGACACAGTGCGGGGAGGTGACCTGTGGCTCTTGAGGCAGGGCCAGAACCAGGGCAGAAATCTCCTAGTTGGTGGGGTGGTGGAGATGCAGGCTTATGTTCCCAGTGATTATGGGGACAGAAGGCCCTGTCCAGTCCCACTCCAACACTGTGCCAGCCATGCCCCATCAGACCCACTATACAGAGGGGCAAACTGAGGCCTGGAATGGCCTGGGGGTGTAGTCTTGGCTGAGGCAAGGGTGGGCTCCCTTCTTGCCCCGGCTCCTGGACCCTGTGGGGGAGGGGGAGCAAAGTGGGAAGCAAGGACGAGCAGGTGGGAGCGAGGACCAGGAGGAGCGGGCAGGCCCCCAGCATGCTCTGCCCTCCCCCACAGTACTTCTGGCTGCTGGTCTTGTCTCGGGGGCTGGTGGGCATCGGTGAGGCCAGCTACTCCACCATCGCGCCCACCATCATCGGCGACCTCTTCACCAAGAACACGCGCACGCTCATGCTGTCTGTCTTCTACTTTGCCATCCCGCTGGGCAGGTGAGAGCGGGAGATGCCAGGGTTTGGGTGAGGATCCGGACGAGGTCCCTCGGACTTCTGGGAACTCCCTCCCCCTTGGGTTCTGGCCCAGGCAGGTGTCCTCGGCTAACTGAACATGCGGGCGGTCAGCCTTGGAGAAATGCCTGGACCTGCTCCCTGGCCAGCTGGCTGGGAGGGTTGGTGGGGGGCCTGCCTTGTAGACCAGCGAGCGTTCCCTGCCCCCAGCCCCCGTCCTGCCCAACCTGACACGTGTCCGTCTTCTCTGCAGCGGCCTGGGCTACATCACTGGCTCCAGCGTGAAGCAGGCAGCTGGGGACTGGCACTGGGCCTTGAGGGTAAGCCCTAGGTCCCCACCCACGAGGGTGCCCCTAGTCCAGCTCTTGTCCTGGAGTTGCCCAGAGATTCCAACCTAGCCCAGATCCCAGGCCGCAACCCCCAGTCTTCCTCCCTCGCCAGCCTGGGCTCTGAAGTCCTTGCCCTTCTAGATTAGTCCAAATTGAGGCGTCATGGAGCTCAGGTGTGGGGCGAGAGAGACACAGCCCCGCCACCCTCAGTCTGAGGGGTGGAATCTTCCACGCTGGGAGTCCCAGGTTGAGAGGACCAAGGATTCTCCCACCATGTCAGGAAATTCCAGGTCCACAGTGGTGCTTCCTGCTCGAGCCCTGGCACTGTGCTAGTGTAAGGCTGGGACAAGACCTCTGTGTGGGGCCTCCTGGGTCTGGAGCTACTTCCTGTCTCGCCAGAGCGTTCGGGGCAAGTGACCAAGGCCACAGGACAGTGCAATCGGAGGAAACAGAGATCCCCAGTCTCTCGGAGGAGCGGAAGCTTAAGACAAAGTGTTTTTTCCTCAAAAGCAGGAAGGAATCAGCCTCCGTGGAATTTCTTGGTTGGGGGGCGAGCGAGGGTGGCTTGAAGAGGAACTCCCCAGCCCATGGCTCCCGGGCTGGTGGGGGTGGGGACAGATTTCTGTGTTCTCACGGGCTGTTGGAGGTGCTGGTGTGGGTCTGTGTGGGCCCCTCCCAAATGACAGCCTCCAGCTTCTATTAGCTGGAAGCTTCATGCCCAGCCAGTCCCTTCCCAGTGCCTGACAGGGTGACGAGCCCACCTGGGGAGCTTCCCTAGCCCCAGGGGGATGAGCAGGGTTGGCCTGTGGCTCCCTGCCCCCAGCAGTGAACTCTCTTCCTTCAAAGTCATCATTCCACCTGTCCGTCCACCTGGCATCCATCCATCTGTCCATCCCTTGATCCATTCATCCATCCCTTCCTTCTTCCTTCGGCCCGTCAGCCTTCCTTTCACCCTCTCCATCCTGTCCTGCCCCTCGTCTGGACATTCATTTTGTGCCCCCAAGCCCTTGGCTGACCTCATCCCTGGTGGCTTTGCTCACCCCGCAGTCAGGAGGGCTGGGCAGATTCCAGTGCAGTGGAGGCAGCCGGGGCCAGAGAAGGCACGGCTGCCTGCGCCCCTCCCAGCGCAGCAGAGACAACGCCGACTGGGCCCTGGTCCCCTAACTTCGTGCTCCCTTCGCCACCAGGTGTCCCCTGTCCTGGGCATGATCACAGGAACGCTCATCCTCATCCTGGTCCCAACCACTAAGAGAGGTCATGCCGACCAGCTCGGGGGACAGCTCAAGGCACGGACCTCGTGGCTTCGTGACATGAAGGCCCTGATCCGAAAGTGAGTACCGCTGGGAGAGGTCTGGTGGGGAGAGGGAAGGGTGTCGACATGACAAGCCCCCACCAGCCCCGCCTGCCGGACTCCCTACCGTCTCCACTGCCCACGGTACTAGGAGTGACATTTTGACCACTGGAGTTTATTATTCCTGCAACCTGAACCCTCACCCCCAGGGCCTGTAAGGGGAGGCATTTGAGGCCTTCTGTCCCCAGAGGGGAGGTGTGGGCCAGCAGGCTGGGGAAGAAGAGGCAGCCTCCCCGGCCCTGACCCGTGGGGTTGCCTGCGGGAGCTGAAGGGTGTCCTGGCCTTTCCCCAGCCGCAGCTACGTCTTTTCCTCCCTGGCCACGTCCGCCGTATCCTTCGCCACGGGGGCCCTGGGCATGTGGATCCCGCTCTACCTGCACCGCGCTCAGGTCGTGCAGAAGACGGTGGAGACCTGCAACAGCCCACCCTGTGGGGCCAAGGACAGGTAGGGCCGGGCAGGGCGGACACAAGGTGGCGCGGGACCCTGGACGGGAGAGCTCCTCTCCCTCAGCCTTGCCTCTCGACCTGCGCCCCACTGTCTTCTGTCCCACAGTCTCATCTTTGGGGCCATCACCTGCTTTACCGGCTTTCTGGGCGTGGTCACGGGTGCAGGAGCCACACGCTGGTGCCGCCTGCGGACCCAGCGGGCTGACCCACTGGTGTGTGCTGTGGGCATGCTGGGTTCTGCCATCTTCATCTGCCTGATCTTCGTGGCCGCCAAGAGCAGCATCGTGGGAGCCTATGTGAGTGCACGGGGGAGGCAAGGGTGCTGGGGGGAGCTGGGGCTGGGCCTCGGGAGGTTCTGGAACAGAAGTCTGGTCTGACCCGCTAGACCCTCCCTCCCCACGGGGAGGCTCCGTCCTTTGGCTGCCTGCTCCTGCTCTGTCCACGCCTGGGTGTCTCAGGGCTGTGGGCATGGCTTGAAGTCTCTGGACAACCCACTAATTCCTTGTGAGCCTGACTGTTAGGAGATGGGGGCCGGGGAGGGAGGCTCTGGGAGCTCCCTACCAGCAGCCAGTGTGCAGGGGCAGCCTGGGGCTGCTGGTGGGTGGAGGGCTCCCCTGACGATTGCTCTGCTCTCCCCTGGGCAGATCTGTATCTTCGTTGGGGAGACGCTGCTGTTTTCTAACTGGGCCATCACTGCGGACATCCTCATGGTGAGCCAGGCGGGCCAAGGTCATCTCGTGCCAGCCCAGGCCTCTTGACTTCTCAGGGAGCTGGGGAGGGCCGCGAAGGGGCAGGAGAGCTGGCAGGGCTTGGTGAGGGGAGGGTGGCAAGGAAGCCCTGCTGGGAGGGTGAACCCAGAGGCAAGGAGGGGATCAGAGATTTGGGGGTCTGCACCAGAGCAGGGCCAGAACACAGAGGATGGAGCAGGCAGACGGGGTGAGATGTGGGGCCGGGTAGGGAGGCGGTGTCTTGAGGCTCAGGTTAGTGGCTGGGAGGCTGGTAGTGCCAGGCTGGCACCGAGGTGGTGCTGCCTGCCAGCGCTCCTCCCCCAGCGCGTGAGTGTCCATGGGCTGTGCCCCTCCAGCTCAGCCTGAGTCCCGGGCGTGCCCGCCTGAGTGCCTGTGGCTGGGGCCGGCTGGACAGAGGCCGTCTTCACAGGCCCAACAATGGGCTGCAGACCAGCCGGCCAGGGACAAAGGGCTGTCTGAGCAGCTGGCAGGGGCTTGTGTCCCTGGGTGGGGACGGGAGCACCCTGGGAGCAGCCAGAAGGGGCTGTGGGCCCAGGAACTTGAGGCAGTCTGGGGGTGGCAGGAGTGAGTGTGACCCTTGGTCCCATTCTGGGGAATCCTCTAGGTCAGCATCAGGAGGGGATCGGGAGAAGAGCGTGCAGGGGACTGTGGTGTGGAGAATGTCTGGGAGGTGCCTGGGAAGGGCCTGGGGCAGGGGAGGGAGTCCTCGTGGGGGAGGGAGTCCTCGTGGGTGGACCCTCAGGGTGCTTGAGGTTTGCTGCCACGGCATGGGACAGTTCAGGAGATGAGTCTGCCTGGCACCGGGGCCCCTGCTAGCTCCCTCACTTGAGGAAGCCAGCCTCACCCTGCCCGAGCTTCCCTGCACGCCCACTTGCCCCTGGGCTGTCTCTCTGTCCCCTACCAGTCCCTGGGCTGGGTGGAGGTGGTGGGAGGTCTGACTCAGCTCTGTGCTCAGCGAGGGGCCAGCGGGGGTGGGCAGGGTCACTGCCAGGCCCAGAGTGAGGGGAGCAGCGAGTCCCTGTGACTCAAGTGCCCTTGGTGCTGGGCAGGAGCCCTCCCTGGCCTCCATCCCCTGGGGTAGCCCCCAGCAGATGCTGACAGGGTCTGGGTCCCAGGGAAATCATGTCCCAGTTTATTAAGTGTCACTGCCAAGTCACTATTGCTAGAAATGGGGCCACTCAGTTTCACTAGATCCAGGTCTCTTTCCACCCCCACCTCCCCCTGCCATGGGGTGCCCAGGGGGTGCTGACTGCTGGCACTTGCTGCCCACAGAGGCTGGTGCTCTCAATAGGAGAGGCAGCAGGAGCGTGGGCACAGGGGGCTGCCCAGGGGCACCTGTGAGCTGGCTGTTGCCTGCCTTGCCCCAGGCTCCCTGTCTGACTTTGGCCCACCCAGCTTTGGAGCTGCAACCCTGTGGGTCAGGGCCTGCTTGGTCTGATGGGGGGTCTGGGCCCGGTGGTTGCTGGCATTTGGTGGCGAAGGTGCCCCCGGGTACAAGTGGAGGCTCTTCCAGGCAGGGTCCTGCTTCACCACACCCTGTCCCAGGCACACCTAGGCCTTGCTGGGTCCTCATGGAGGGGACAAAGGGTCTTTCACTTGTTGGGAGGTGAGGGCAAGGGGCAGAGAAGCCAGGGTGCTAGTTCCAGAGCTGCCCGACTCCACCTGTGGTCCTTCAGGAATGCCTCTCTGGGCCTCGGTGCCCGTGGCCACAGCACTCGCCTGCCCACCAAGGGCCAAGTGCCCCACCTAAGGCAGCCCTGCCATTCCTGATGGCTCAGGTACCTCAAGGGTCAGAGAGCTCTGGACTAAAGGCCTCTACTGCCTAGCACCAGGGTGACCCCTAAATTGTTCTCCCCTTGACTGGATGTGGTTGGGGAAGGAGGCGAAGATTTCTGTCTCGGAGCCGAGGGCTTAGGGGTTCGGCAGGTTTGGGGGCCGATGACGAGTTCAGTCTGGGGCAGGTCAGAGTGGTCTGGGCTGGGGCTGGAGGTTTGGAAGCTCCCGGTCCCGAGAGAGTACTGAAGCCGTGAGTGGGTGGCTTGGGGAGGGGCATGTGGAGTGGAGGAGTAGCCATGCCGCTGAGGTGGGCAGGAAGGAAGGGCCCAGGGGAGAGAGGTGCCAAGACTCTGGGTCAGGATTGAGCCCGAGGGCATGGGGGGCTTCGGAAGTGGGGATGGGTGGGCCTGGCTCCCCAGCCACCGACCTGCCTGCCTCTCCCGCAGTACGTGGTCATCCCCACCCGACGGGCCACCGCCGTGGCCTTGCAGAGCTTCACCTCCCACCTGCTGGGGGACGCCGGAAGCCCCTACCTCATCGGCTACGTGAGTAGCCCGGTGCAGCTGGCCTGGGGAGGCGGGGGGCGCTGTGGGCGGCGGCCCTGCCCTGACGTCTGCCTCCCCATTGCAGATCTCGGACCTGATCCGCCAGAGCACCAAGGACTCCCCGCTCTGGGAGTTCCTGAGCCTGGGCTACGCCCTCATGCTCTGCCCCTTCGTCGTGGTCCTGGGGGGCATGTTCTTCCTCGCCACTGCTCTCTTCTTCCTCAGTGACCGCGCCAAGGCTGAGCAGCAGTGAGTGGGGGTGAGGGTGGGCCTGCTGCTCCAGGGTGGGTCGAGGGTACGGTGACATACTGTGCGTGTGGGTGGGCAACGTGGCTGCTGGGGTCCAGGGCCCAGTCGCAAGCTGCACATCAGCCCCCAGGCCCTGGCTCACAGCCAGCGTTGGCCTGGAGCTGCGGGAGCCCACAGGGGCCCCGGCCGGCGGGTGCCAGGCCTGTTCCTGGTGGTTCTAGATGGGGGTTTTTCTCTGGAGTTAAATGGGTTTCAGAGCTGGGAACCCCTCCTTTTCCTTTTCCTCTCATTTTCTGACTTCTTTCTCCTTTCTTCTTTACTCCTCTCTCTCTCCTCTCCCCACCCCTGGGCTCTCCCACCTCCCCCTGGGGCTGACGAGGTCCCTGCCCAGCACCTCCGGTCCGCCGGCCCCCGCGATGCGATGCGCCAGAGCAGTGCCCGGGCCCGGCCCCCGCTGACGCGCCACCCTGACCCCCGCCCGTCTCTCCCCCAGGGTGAACCAGCTGGTGGTGCCGCCCGCATCCGTGAAAGTCTGAGGCGGTGAGTGCAGGCCAGGGAGATCCTGTGGGGGCTTAGGGTGGCTCTCCTTGTGGCACGGGAAAAGCCAGGGTTAGGGGACAGGGATCACTTCTCCCCCACTCACCTCCTGCCTAAGCACATCCCAACTCTGGGTTTGATCTCATTCTCTTAAGCTGTTGCCGGAGGAATTTACTGACAGAGCCATGAGTGGGAGGGCAGGCTCCCTCTTCCAGTAAATCGGCTTCCCTTCCTTCCTCAGAAGGGCCGGGGCAGGGCAGGGGTCAGGGCTGTGGCAGGGGTCAGGGCGTGCTGGCCAGGAACTCCTCGCTGTTTGGATCCTGTCCTCCCAAATCCTAGCCGTACCAGGGCCGACTCCTACTCTGGCCTTCCTTGGGGCCCGGCCTGTGGGAGCTGCAGCGTCCCAGCAGTGCAATACCTGGGGTCACAGCCCCAAGCCCAAAGGCTTGCTTCTCTATACGGCAAGGAAATGAAGGAGGGAAGCCTTGGCATGGGCCCCCCAAAGCTCCGCTTCTCACCTGACACCCCTCCCTGCAGGTGCCGCTGGGACAATGAAGAGCTCGCACTTCTACCTAGTCTGGGAGGTGCCCTACGGCACCCTGGACCCGCCGGGCTGTCCCAAAGCTTTCTGTGCCATCCACAGCTGGGCACCCACCCTCTCTGGCCTGGGCCCATGGAGTGGCCCTGGTTCCAAGAAGAGGCTGTGTCTTCAGTTAACCCGGAAGGATGTGTGCATTGGAGCCACGAAGTTGGGCAGATTTCCAGCCCTGGGTTTGGGCTGCACAGCCCCTGGGGCCAAGGGAGAAGACAGCCTCAACTGGGTATATCGGGACAGCCTGGCCTGTCACCAGCTTATATGATCTTGGGCAAGTCCCTGCCCTCCCTGGACCACAGGGCCAAGGGGCTGGACTTTCCCACAAAGCCTGCTGGGCAGGGCACCATCTACAGCTTTGAAGACCCGTCAGCTCCCGGCCTGCACGGAGAAGAGACGGCCCAGGCCTCAGAGCGCCAGTTCAGGTTCTGAGGCTCACGGAGGGCCTGGTGTGCAGAGTCCGCTGCCTCTCAGCTGGGCTCTGACCTTGGGGGTTTGGACTCAACCTGGCAAATGGAACTGGGCACCCAAGTCACTGGGCACTTCCTGGCCCAGCTGGCCACTCTGGAGGACACTTGTCTCCCTGCCTTGGGTTGGCTCTTAGCCTAGAGGTCTCCTAGCTGGGGACCATCCCCAGACAAGGAGCTGGCATCACCAGGGGTGAAGGCCCTGGCAGCAGCCATATACCATCTGTGCCCCCAGGCTAAAGATCTTTGGAAGTTACCCACCAGCCCATCTCTGCAGGCCCCTAGAGTGCTTCTGCTGTCCACCCTCTCCCTGACCACCCCCTTCCAGCCAGGAACCCACTCCCTCCCCCAGGCTGGGCTGAGACTTTTCCAGGGGCAGGGCCCAGGGGACCATTCCCAGAATCCATGGGGCAGGAGCCAGGACTCTGGCTGCTGGAGGAAACAGCTATCCATGAGGCTTCCTGCTCCAGGGATGAGCCTGGTGGAGGCTGAGGCCCACCCTGCCCCCAACACTGGCTGCCGCTGCTCCTCATATACTGAGCCCATGGGGCCAGGCCTTCCCCCCAGCTTTTGATCACCCCACTCCCGTCTGTACACACACCAGGGTGCAGCTGCCAGCTCCAGACCAGCCCCAACCCCTCTTGGGGGAGCTTATCCCCCCCAGCTCCACACCATTCCTGCACATTTGCTGCAATCAAGGTGGTTCTGGCCCTTGTGGCCATTAGGAGACCCCAAGAGCCAGCTGGGATAGCGTTCTTCCCGCCCCTTAGTGACCGGCTGGCCGTGGCTTCAGTGGTGTGTAAGCTAGTGGAATACCCACCCACCGAGCTCTGGGGTACCCTGGGGGCCTGACGAGGGGGTGGGGTGGGGGTGGTACCCCCCAAAGACCAGCCTGGCCTCCACCCCCACCCCAGCCTCAGCCGGGGCCCCAGCAATGTTTTCTTGTTGTACAAGAACCAGGTCCAAGTGTTGCCTCCTCTTCCTTCCGGAAGCCAAACTGCTCCTTTATTTTTTAGAGCTGCTGATTGTGAATCTCAGAGTCTTAAGAGAGAAGCCAAATATATTCCTCTTATAAATGAAAAAATAAACCTATTTAAATCATGCCCTGGTTGCAAACAGCCTGGGGTTGGGGACAGGAGGAGTGGTCACACCTGTGACCTGGCCAGTGTGCCAAACCACACCAACCTACCTGGACACCAGAGCCTGGGCCTGGCCCGCACCGCCCGGGGGACCAGCTCTGTGTAGGGCGTGTGTTTTGCAGGCTGAGAATCAGCCAGCCGGGCGGCAGAAGCAGGGCCTTGTCTGTGCCCTGGGACCCCCGGGAAATCAGCTGAGGCTGTGCTTGCCCGCAGACACTCTGGCGGGCTGGCAACAGACCCACCACTCAGTGCCAGAGCGAGTGCCTCCGACTATGGCTTGTTTATTAATTAAAATCATGGTGAAAAAATAGTCTCTAGGGCTGGGGAGGCAGGGGCTGAGGGGGCCTGCGTTCAGGACCGTTTCACCTTCTTCATCTGCACTTTCTTCTTCCTGGCCATGCTCTGGAACAGGCTGGGACTCCTGCTGGCCAGAGACAGCCTGGCCTTTTTCCGTGGCAGGGCGGACTGCGGTAACTTGCCGGAGACCTCCTTTTTGAGAAGAGCCTTCTGATGCTTCTTTTTGACTGCAGGCTCCACGGGGGACACGGGAGTGGCTCCATTCACCTGGGACGGCTTCTGGTGTTTCTTCTGTAGCTTTGGGGTCTTGGCAGGGGTGCTGGGGTCCAGGGTGGAGGTGTCTGGGGCTGGACGCTTGACAGCAGGCGTCCCGTTCACCTGGGACTGGGCTGGGGCTTTGTCCTTTGCCCTCTTCCTCTTCTTCTTCTTGCCTGTGCTGGGGGGCTGCCCCTCAGCAGTGGCTGTAGGCTTGGCACCCTCCTCTTGTGCGACATCCTCTGACTTGCGTTTCTTACGCTTCTTGGTCTCTGGCAAGAACCCCTTCTTCTTCCGCTTCATGCTCATGGGGCTCTGGACGGCACTGGGGACTTCCTTGGTGTCCTTCTTCTCCAGCTTGGGGCGCCTGGGGGAAAGTGAGCAAGGTAGGACAGTGCCCAGCGAGGGCAGGAGCCACCTCCACTTCACGGTCTCATGGGACCCATGCTGCCCAAAGCTCCCACAACCGAGTGTGCACTTTAGAGTGTGCATGTGTGGGGGCGTGAAGCTTTTCCAGCCCCCTCCCAAGGTGCGGGTCCTCATGCCCGAACGTACTGGACTCCCAGGACTTTCATGGCCTGCCAGTAAAGGTCGTAGAGGCGGCTGGACCCGGTGGAGTGCTCCCCCTGCCGCAGGCTCTGCTGTAGGCTCTGCTGTTGGCCCTGCAGCACGCCCAGGAGCCCCGTCAGGTCCAAGGTCAGCTTCTGCAGGGGTGGGAAGGCGGCAGCTGCTGCGGTGACAGGAGGCAGGGCCTCTCCCAGGCTCTTGGCCCTGGTCCTCCCACCGTGGCCGGGCTGCTACCTCGCCAGTGACCCCTGCCCTCCCGGCCTCAGCCACTCCTGCCTGTAAATCACTGCTCTCACACCTGGGAGGAGACAAGAGCCCCTGGGTGTCCTTCCCTCCTGTGGGGGCTCAACCCTGCCCACCTCTGAGGGTGTCCTTCAGTCACCTCCATGTTGTCAAAGCCTTCCTCCCACCTTGCCCCCTGCCTGTACTGAACGGGTTATTTTCGAAACCCACCAGCTCCCAGACTGCGCTCTCCTGGCTCCCTCACGCCCACGCTGCTTTGCAAGGCCCTGTCTCAAGCCTGCCTCCTCCCACCAGCATGCTCTTGGCGAGCCTGCCCTCCACCTGGGCTCTGGCCAGCATCTGTGCCGAGGACTCCCAGACCCATCCCTCCAGGCCAGACTGGGAGAGCCACCTGTCCACCTGTAGCTGCCTCCCAGGCTCGGGCCCTCCCCCTGCTGGAAAGCGGCCCCCCGCACCCCCTCCCCGAATCCCCTCCAGCTCCTCTCTGCTTTCTCCCTGGACCTGACAACAACACTGTCTCTCACCCCCACCCCACAGGGACGTGTGACTGCCCTTCCCGAGTCACTCCTTCCATCCATGGCTTCTCTACTCTCCTGATAAAGACAGCCCAGACCCTGCACCCTGGCACCCAGGATCTCTCCCACATGGCCCCCTCCCCGGGAGCCCGGCACGATGCCTGTTCCATCCTGAGCTCAGGCCCGCGGGCTCGTGCCCCACCTCGTGAAGGACGCTCCTGAAGAGAGTGTTGAGCAGCTCCAGGGAGGACAGCTCCTTCTGGTGCTCCGCCTTGGTCTGTGCGTGCCCCAGCGCCCGCAGGTTCTAGGGAGGAGGGGCCAGCTGAGGCGCTCCAGAGAGCTGCTCAGAGCCTTTCCATTTTCCGAGGGGTGAAACGTCTCCCGGGACAAGCCCAAATCCCACACTGGAGGCTCAGGTTCCAAGTGGTCCTTGCTCCTTGGTTCCCAGAGAACCATTCCTGCTGGGGTTGTTACCTCAGAGACCTTCGCCAGGATCTGGCCAATCAGCTGCTTCCACTCGGGGTCCTCAAAGCATGCCCTCAGCTCCCGCATGGACAGGGTCTTCTGGAGCAGCAGGCAGGCCTGGGCCTGGGTTGGGAGACCGTGGTTACCAGGAGCCGGGCCGTGGCATGCTGCGCCAAGGCTCAGGGACCCGCAGGCGCTCAGCAGTCAGCCGGGCTCCTGGTAAGGTCACTCCTGCTCCAGGCTGCGCGAGAGGCGCTTGCTGCTCTGGGCTCTGTGGTATGCGCTCCTGTGCCCTCTTGGGCAGGTGGGAGACACGGAGGCCTGGAGGCAGGCAGGGCTCCCAGCTGGATGGAGGTGGGGCCTCAGGTTGGGACAGCTCCTCCTTGTAACTAGCTTTGTGCCATATTCCTCCAGCCTGTCTGTCCCTGACAGTCTCTGAGCAGATACTGCCAGGGCGTCCTCTGCGCAGGCCAGAGCACAAGCTCTCAGGAGACTGAGGGCTCAGGCCAGATAGGCAGAGGCGGCTACAGGAGCATAGGCGGCCCTGCCCCCCAGCCCCTTGGTGCCACCACCCCCTTCAGAGAGCACGTGCGGCAGCCAAGGCCAGCGGGCCGGGACAGCCATGCCCTCATTCACCAGGGCAGCGCTCTGGGGCCTCAAAAATACCCAATAAAAAGTAGGTTAAGTGGGTAATTCAGACAGGCCCTGGGCTGGGATGTGGGAAGCTGCTTACCTGATGGCGAGGTCGCGCTGGGCCTGCTACGTGCTGGACCAGGATGGGCAGCAGGCTCTTACAGAGCACCTGGCGGGGAATGACAGGAGCAGTGAGGTGGGGACTGGGCTGGGCAGGGGCCCCGATGGGACAGGGCAGGCCTCAACACTCACTGGGTGCCGGGAGAAGAGGCTGAGAAACATGGGAACCGTGAGTGGGCTATTGCGCTTGGTCAGGAAGGAGCTCAGTGCTGACGAGTAGACCGGGGTCACGAGGTTCCAGTCCAGGCAGCTGGCAGTCTGGACCAGGTGAGAGAGCTGGGTCAGGAGAAGGGTCCCAGGAAGTCATGGCCACTTCTCCCCGCTGTGAAATGCCTGTGGCTCTTCCTGCAGCCCTCTTGGGCCAGGCCCCGCTCACCTGTGGGCCCTTGGGCTTGGGGCTGGTGTCAGTGCCGGCTCTTGGCTTCTTCTGGGTCTCAGGAGCACACCCCTCACCACTGCTGCCCTTCAAGACCCGGAGCAGGTAGAGAGAGGCGTTGAAGTGGTAGAGGGCCACAGAGGAGTCGGCCTGGCGGCTGGCCTGCTGCACTAGCTGCTCCACCTGAGTGTGCAGAGTCTCCACAAGGTCACCCAGGTCGTGGCAGTAGCGCCGGGCACGGCACAGGTGGTGCCTGTGGGCAGAGCTGGTCAGAACTTTCTCTCTCCACCCCGCTTCCTGCCAGGCAGAACCAACCCGAGTCCCATTCCACAGGTGGGGACACAGACCCAGAAAAGAAAAGGGACTTGACCAAGGCCGCAGAGGAAGGCCCAGGGCCACTGCGGATTGCTCTGAGGACGGTGCACATGGGAGAGAACAGCTCCCGGGGCAGAGGCTGCACCGTAGGCCCCACACCCCTACTGGCCACATCTCCCAGCTGCACCGTCCCTCATGGGAGAGTACAGGCCTTTTTTAAAGTGAGACCAGGGTTTTTGTGCTTGGAACCCTATGTGGCCATGCAGGGCTGGGGACAGACTAGGGTGAGAGGCAGGACACTCAACAAACTAGACACTATCCAAGTAGGTGGCAAGAGAACTACTGAGAAAGTGTGGCCTGGGGCTGGCACGGGATCATGATGGGGGTGCAGGGGCAGTTGCGCGCCCTACCCCCCCGCCCCCCACTGTGAACCCGGGTCCCAGGTCCCTAGCCTGTGCCTCCACCAGCATCTCTGAGCTCTGGAAGGCAGGTCTGTGTCTCCCACACCTGTAATCGCCTCCTCGCTGGGCTCCCTGCCACTAGCCCGGCCCCTCCCAAACCCTTCTCGACACTGCCGCCTGTTTCTTAAAAGGTGAAGCAGACCCAGACGCTTCCCCACACCAATGCTCTTGCTAAAAGCACCTGTGGCACCAGCCCTGCTAGGGTCCGCACATGCACGGCACCCCCACCTCACCACAGCTCCCAGGACTGGGTTGGGTGTCCCCACCACCGTGTGTTCCCACTGTCTCCCATCTACCCCACCACAGCCCCACTAGGACTGTCACCGCCCGGTGACTGGTCGGGCTTCCCATCTACCCTGAGGGCAGGGATGAGTCTGGGGCCCCGAGGACCCAGCTCTAGGGCAAGTGTGGGGAGAACAGGTGGATGCCCCAGGGCTGAGCAGTGAGTCTCCTGAGTCACAGGGGCCTGGGTTTGAATCCTGACTCTCCCATCCCTGCCTGTCTACACGGCAGCCCTGAAGGCCCAGTCCTCCTGAGCCCCTGCCCCGTGCCCACTCACGTGAAGATGCGGGCCGTCTTGTGCAGCAGCTCCTGCTCCTGCTGGCAGCTGCTGGTGCGCATGCTGCGCCGGATGATGCGCAGCAGCGGCTGGAGCAGCTGCAGGACCAGGGGGTTCTCGGGCTGCTTGGTCACCAGCACCTCGATCAGGTCCAGCACCTGCGGCCGGGAGGGAGGGTCAGCCCACAGGGCGCACGGGGGACCGGGAAGGGGACGGGCCGCTTGGGCTCACCCGGATCTGGAAGTCGCGCCGCAGCATCTTCTCCTTTTGCAGCTTGTTCTTCTCGTCGCGCCGGGCCTGGATACGCAGCTTCTGCTCCGCGAACAGGCTGGCGAGGCTCTGGTCCAGGGCCATCATGGCCTCGTCCCCCAGCTCCTCCTCGTCCTCACTGTCCGCGCCACCCTGGGGACAGAGCCTGGCTGTTGGCCTGGCCTCGGGCAGGCACACGAGCCACCCCCTGGCGCCTGCTCACCAGCGCCTTCCCGGCCTGCAGCACGGCCATCAGCTGCTCCCGGAAGCCCTGGTCCACGTCCCCGTCTCGATCTTCCTCCTCGCTCTCCTCCTCCTCCTCACTCTCGTCCTCGCTCTCTGCGTTTTTGTTGTCTTCGCTGTCATCGCTCTTGTCCTGTGGGGGCAGGTGTCACACTGCCCTGTGGCCACCACACATCTGCCCACCCTGCCCCCGGCCCTGGCCCTTGTCGGCAAGTACCTCTGCGTTCTCCAGCTGCTTCTCATCAGAATCGTCGGTGACCACCACGTTTTCGTCCTCGTCCTGGCTTGTCTCGGGGTTCAGCACCTGGGAAGGATGCCCAGCCTCTGCCCCTTCTGCTGCCCTGGCCCCTGGCCCTCCTCTGATCACAGGGCCCTCCCGACCACCACCTCTGACCAGTCTTGGCCAAAGACCCCCCTTTCAGGGAGGAAAATGGAGCCCAGGAAAGGCAGCTGCCCCCTCCAGTACCTCCATGACAGACCTGTCCCCTGACTCTGCAGGATCACAGAGAGGTGGCCCAGAGGAGGATGGGAACCCCTGGGGCTGCGCGGTACTCAGTGGGCCCCAGCCCAAAGCTCCAACTCACATCCAAGATTAGCTGCAGGGCATGCGGGGTCAGGTGGGAGCAGATGTGGCCAAACACGCTCCGGGCCACCTGGCGCATCAGGTGGCTGGGCTGGGCCAGCAGGGCCAGCAGGATCTCCACCAGCACTTCCACCCATGGGGGCTCCTGGGAGTCTGAGACAGTGGAGAGGGCTGAGCCGCGCAGGGCACCACTGACCTGGTCACCCTACTCCAGCCCCTCTTGTGTCCAAAGACACGCCCTGCCTGTCCCGCCCCAGGAGCAATGACCCACTGATGGCCTTGGTGCGGCTCCGGCGGGTCTTTTCCCCCAGGCTCTTCTTGATGCAGGTCTGGATGTCGTCAAGCAGGTCGCAGCTCTCTGCAGGTGACTGTGGGCAGGGTAGGACAGAATCAGGGCCCAGCCAAGCGGCAGCAGCTGGCATCAGATGCCCTGAACACTTGGCCACACCCTGCCCCGGCCAATCACCCTCACAATCCCAAACGGAAGATCCCAGTCAGACCGTGGGGACAGCCCAAGAGCTAACAACCTTTTCACACCTAACGTGCAGTCACAGGATCTGAAAGCCTACAACAGAGCCCAACTGACACCCAGAGACAGAGCTTGACGATGACAGTCAGCGTCACAGAGAAGTCAGCAGGTCCCAGCTTCCTGGTTTGTAATTCCAGATTATTCCCCCCACACCTCACTTGGCATCAGAGACAAACTTGAAAGCCATTGGTTTTAATTAATTGAACTAAGTTTAAACCCATCTTGCTGGTGTTGAGCCCAGACTCCAGCTAGTGAGGTAGCAGGGAGGGCCTCTTGAAAACATCCTGTGTGACCTGCAGCACCCAACGGCAGACTTCCCCCCATAGCACAGTAGGCAGCGTCAATGTTTAGGCCGGGGTGGCACCAAGAAGGCCAGAACAGGAGCCCAAAGCCCTGGCCATTGCCCACCAGCTCCTGGGCCATGTGACCAGGCAGGTCCCTGTCCTTCTCTGGGCTGCACCTTTTATCCAAGTGTTTGACACACTGTGAACTGCAGTCTCCCCTGTCCAAGTCAAGCTCAGAGGTCCCAGGGTCGGGGCAGGCTCTGCACATGTCCTAGAATCACCAGGGCTCTGCTGCTATCAAAGCCCTGATGCCAAGGACCCAAGGGGCACCATGGCCACCCTTCACCCACATGGCTTGTCACAGGCTGGGCTCAGAGCGCCGAAGGCTGGGAAGCAAAAACCACAGCCAAGTGGCCAGAAGGGAGCAAATGAGAGATGCACCAACTCAGGCTACTAAGACTTGAAGCAGCCCCGGTAAGAGCCTCACACAACGTCAGAAAACTTTCAAAGAAACGGGGGTTCAAAAAGCCAAGAAGAAACCACAGAGGTCAGATGTGTTGCTGGCACGGAGCTTCAGATGCGGTCAGGGCTTCTTGTTGGGGAGAAGAGAAAGGCAGACAGGACAGTTCTAGAGTGCCCATTACTACAAGGTGTACAAGTGACAGAACGTGACACAGACTGAAACACGACGTGAGGCAGCAGAGGCCTGCACTGTAAATCCAGAGGGAAAAACACTAACCGCAACCATGACCCCCACTTCTGGGGTGGGGGGCTAAACATAAGAACTGGGACCTCATTTCCAATTGCCCACCGAGCCATGGAGGAGCCACCACCATGGTGATGGGTCGCCTCTCTGCGAGAGGAGCAGAGGAGGCAGCACTTTCTCCTTCCCAACCATCAACTCTCCATGGCTAAGCATGTCTTGGGAGGTCCTGAGGGATCCTTCGGATCCCAGTCAGTAGCTGTGTGACACGGCGCAAGTTACTCTGCCTCTCTGAGTCTCAGTTTCCCCACATGTCAAACACAAAGAAGTGCCTACCTCAAATTGTGGGATCACGTGAAATCTCGCACAGAAAGCTTAGATGCCGGCTGGTGCCCAGTAAGTGGATAGAGTAATTTTTCCTCGGGTTTAATTCCACCCACAACAGGGTCGGCTTAGGAAACCTTCCACCTTCAACTCCCCAGAGCCTTCCCTAGCCTGGCACACAGCCCTCAGGCCTCTCGGTGGGAGGCCCGTGGTGCCCTAGAAGCCACAGCCCTCCCTCCCAGTGCCCCGTACCTTGAAGAGGTGGATGCCCACCAGGAGCAGCAGGTGCTGGAAGGCGGCAGCTCTGGCCTCTGTGGAGTGGGCCTCCAGGTCCCTCAGAGTCTGCAGCATCCTGGGGGGAGACGGGCGTGTTCTCAGGCCCCCACTGCCAGTCAGACTGCGGAGTGTCCTGCCCACCCCCTGGAAATCCCGCCCGCTCACCGGTCCCAGGCCTGGTGCTGCTGCGTGGTGAAGGGCAGCACGGTGGTCACGCTGCGGCTGTGGTTCAACAGCTTGTCCGCCCACTGCACCAGGCGGTAGGCCCAGGACTGCCCACGCTGGGTCTGGCCCGGTGCCTGCTTGAAGTGCGTGCTGAGGGTCTGCAGCAGACTGGGTGCAGGGTGGGGGTCACAGGACTGGACGAGTGAACGTGGCCACCTCCTCCCACCCTTCCCTGGATGTGCTGGAACTCAGTGGGCCTCTCAAGCGTCCTCAAGGCCACCTTCCCGCCCGCAGATGTCCCTCGCCCAAGCTGTGCAGGGCTCACCTGAAGAAGGCATTGCTGACCACCTCTCGGGACTGGCTCTCCAAAGGGAAGGAGAACTGCTGCTTAGTCTCTGGGACCTGGGACGTGGGCTTCTTTGTTACAAAGAACGAGTGGAACAAACAAAACCTGGGGAGGTGGGAGAGCAACCGGCGCTGCCTCAGTGCTGCTTGTTTTTACACGCTCTCCTCCTTGCATGGTGCCAAGGGTGCAACGCCAGGAGGAGGGGGAGCCGTTTTGCTCTGGGCACAGCCTCAGGGGCCCGACAGGCAAGGCTGGGGAGAGAACCGGAGCCCCTTCCTTGGAACCAAGACAGACGAGAGGCTGTGTGCTCGAGGCCAACTCATGTCACTGCTTCTGCAGACATGGGGCTAGTGAAGCCCCCTCTTGCAACTGTGGTGAGGGAGAAATGAGCACCTGGCTCTGCCTGGCACAGATGAGGCAAGTGTTGGGCACACTGCTTCTCCGACACCACCAATGTGCACAGGCGGCCTGCAGGATGTGCGAGTAAGCCTGAACCGTTCAGATGCCTGCAGCCCTAGACCTCCTGGGCCACCGAGGAATTCCCGGGTTCCCTGGTGCCTACTCCCCACTGACACAACCCCAAGGCTCCTGGCTCCACGGGGACCCAGACTAGGACTAGGCAAGGGGCCCAATTCCTTGGCCACACCACCCAGGGGAGCCGGGGCTCCAGCACATCACACCTGGCCACCTGCTCGACCAAAGCATCCTCCTTTTCCAGGTGCGTGTTGTCCACGATGCTGACCAGTCGGTGGATGAGCCACTTCCGTAGTCGGGACACAGCTCGCTCGGGCCTGGAGGGAAGGAGCCAAGGTCACAGAAGCCACATTTAGAGATAGCAAGAATAGGGCATTTTTTTTTTTTTTTAAATGCAGGACAGAGTGGTGGTTAGGAGACCAGACCGACCTGGGTTCAAATCCCACTCTGCCAGTTCCTCACTGTGTCATCTTGGGGCTCAAAAACCACACCTGTCCTGATCCTGGAGACAGGAAACCAAGATCTCCCTGCCCCTATCACCAGCGTGGGACCATGCGAGGAAACTGAGACCATCTCTGAGGGTTAAGGATCTTCCCCTCCCTCCCTTCCTGTGGTCTGGAGCTATGACACTGTGGGAGGGAGGGTCCAGGTCACTGGGTTCCACAGGCCCAGGAAACCAGCTCCCGAATCCCAGGCCCTCTCCCTGGGCCACTCACACGTGGAGCGATGCATCCTGGGCTTTCTTCTGGTTGGTGGTGCTGAAGTCAACCAAGGAGTCCAGGTTGGGCTGGAGAAACATGTCCTGCAGCCAGGCCACATAGCCCTGCACAGCGGGGGGACTCAGGAACTGCACGACCCGCCAGACAGTAGGCACGACAGGGAGGCCTTGGTTGGTGACGGATGAGAAGGCCACCAGCACAGCCAGCTGCCGCTCAGGGTCATCCTGGCAGCCCTCCAGGAAGGTGCCCACGTACTTGTCCATCTCCGGGCCAAATCTGAACTGGTTCGGGGGCTGCAAGAGTTAGGCATGGCGCTGGGCTCACCAGCCCTGGGGGGCCCGTGGCACCACCAGCCTCGCCGCTACAGGTTGAGCCGAGGCCCAGACGCCCCCCTCCCTTGCACACAGGCAGGCTGAGCCTGAACTCACAACAGCTCCCTGTCACCCCAACACTTCTGCCTGGTGTCAAGGCCTCCCTATGTCTGACTGCTCCGGCTTTCATACATCCAGTCCTAGAACACTCCTCCTTTGGCCTCGATGGATGGGGACGGGCTGCTTTCCCAGCTCAACACGGGGCAGAGTAGTGGTTAGGAACCCAGACCGACCTGGGTTCCAATCCCACTCTGCCAGTTCCTAGCTGTGTCACCTTGGGGCTCAAAACCCACCACTTCTCATGTGCTTACTATGTGCCAGGCACTGCACTACACGTTTCTGTGTGGCTGCTTTTTTTAATGACCCTTTGCACTGAACCACTACTGTCATGTTATAGATAAAGAAAGTAAGGCACAAAAAAGCAAATTCTCAGGATCACAGCGCTCCCAATGGTACAACTGGGATTGGGACTCAGTCTGGCTGGCCTTACAACCCAACTTTTTTTTTTTTTTTTGAGACAGGGTCTCACTCTGTTGCCCTGCTAGAGTGCAGTGGTGTCATCGTCGCTCACAGCAATCTCAAACTCCTGGGCTCAAGTGATCCTCCTGCCTCAGCCTCCCAGGTAACTGGGACTATAGGCATGCACTACCGTGCCTGGCTAATTTTTTTTGCTTTTAGTAGAGACGGGGTCTCGCTCTTGCTCAGGCTGGTGCCGAACTCCTGAGCTCAAGCGATCCTCCTGCCTCGGCCTCCCAGAGTGCTAGGATTACAGGCGTGAGCCACCACGCTCAAGCCCAACCCAAGCTCTTAACCACAGCTCTATACTTTCTCAACCTGTCCCCTTGTCCAGAAAACGAGAATGACAGCTCTCTGACACTAGTTCCAAACATGAACTGAGCTGGTGAGAACAGCAAACCCAGCAGCTGTTCTGGGCACCTGGTACCAGGCACAAGGTATGACAGTGCTCAAACAGTGGCAAAGACGACTGACTATTGTCATTATTTTGAGACCGGCCGGGGTGGAGGGAGGTCTGGACAGGCCGCTGCCATCTATGCCCCTGTGAGGGGCCTGAGGGCAGAGGGCCTGACCTTGCCAAGACTCCACCCAGAGGGGAGGTGATTCAGGCAGCCCACCCTACCCAGAGGGAAGGGACGCCCAAGGCCCAGGCCCCTGAGGTGCCCCACCCTGTTTCTTGGCAGAAGAGCCTTCCTGAGCAGTGTGGGGTGGCGCCTACCTTGGCAGTGACCATGTGCTCGCCATAATGGCGGATCAAGTCTCCCCGCATCACCATCTGCAGCTGCTCCTTGGACAGTAGGGGCAGGGCCACGCCCAGCAGGCGGAAACATAGGTAGCTAAGGGGTGTAGGACAGAGCCTTGTCAGAGCCCTCGGTCCCCCTGGCCTCAGAACTGGTGGCCTGCCCCATGTAACAGACAAGGTAGAGGGTGGAGAGAGGACAACTGCCACATGTACCTGGCTGGCCAGGACTGTTTCTTCAGCAGCCCTTGTTCCACAACCTCCTTCCAGAACTGTGGGAACTTGTCCTCCTTAAGTGCCAGGCGGAGCAGGCCCAAAGCCACTGGGGGCAGCTTGCGCTCCTTCTTCGCAGCGGTGGCAGCCATCCTCAGCACGTTTACCAGCCTGCAGAGGAGAGCAGAGGGCGGAGGACACTCAGGGAACACTCGCCTAACAGATGAGCAGGGACACTTCCAGACCATGCGGCAAACCTGGGCCTGGCCAGAGGCAGTCTGGTGGCCCCAGGAAGAGCTGATCCACCCACCTCCCTCACACCTGGGCACATTCTCATCTGAGAATAGGTTGACTGATCCCATCATGTTCTCGAGCTTTGCGGGCACCTTCTGCTGGGCCAAGAGGAAGAGCTCCAGGCGCTCAGGGGAGCTGAGTGTCATGTTCAAGTCGCCCTTGAGGACCTTGGGCAGGATTTCCTGCAACATGGCCTCTGGGACCTGGGGACAGGGAGATAGGTTAGGGGATGGCGGCTCCCTCCCAGCATCCCTTAGTCTCTTTCTCCTGTGGGCCCTGTTCTACCCATCAGACTCCTGGCACTGTGCCAGGCTGAGGTGGGCTAGCCATAATCCACCTGGCCAGGCACCAGAATCGTCAGAGGGCATTTGTTAAAGACTCAACTTCGCAGGCAGCTGGGTTTTTAACAAGCATCCCACTGATGTCAATTGGCCTGGGGCTATCCTTTTAATTATTCCTCTCTCTGGTTCCTCAGAGGACTAGCACATTTCTTCTACAAGGAGCCCTAAGTGGACAGCTGGGTCTTAGGTACTAGCCTGCCTCAGTTTCCCAAGCCGGGCAGTGGAGGCCGAGGGGCCAGCCCTGACCAAGATAACAATGGCAAACGTGTTGTCGTGGGCCAGGCCCAGTTCTAGAGCTGCACTGCCCAATACACTAGCCACCAACTACACAGGGCCACTGAGCATGTGAAATGGGTCTGATCTGAATGGAGATGTGCTTTACGTGTAAATTACACACTGGATTCCAGAGACTTACTATGACAAAGCAAGGGCAAGACATCTCCACAATTTTTTACACTGACTGCATGTTGAAATGCTATTTTCGATACACTACTAGATTAAGTAAAATGTTACTGAACTACATCTGTTTGTTTTCACCTTTTCCCCCCGAAGTGACTAGCACGCTCATATATTAACTCAAGTTTTCTCAGTGTCTCTGTAACAGAAGTGCTGTCCGAGCCCCCATAGCTGGTAAGCCTGTACCTCAGAGAGGATGTCCACCAGGGCCTTCTGTGGCTGCTCCTGTAAGTGGTTGTAGTGCAGGGCCAGGACCTGCAGCAGCTTCACCGACTTCATCAGTGCTTCCTGGTCCTGGTTCCCCCGGAGGGGCAGAGGGTACGATCAGGGCATTGCTACTGTCGCCCATCACACAAGCATGTCCACATGCCCTCTGTACCCCCCAAACTCTCACCTTCACCAGCCGGCCGGACTGAAAGAGGGCTAGCACCCCAAACAGGTTTCCAAAGAGAGCAGGTCTCATGGTTGCCTAGAAAAGGATTCCAGGCACAGGTGAGAAGGGACCACCCGCCCAACCCCCCCACCCCGGGGGCTGCTGACATGTCTGGGGCCACTCTCACCTTCTTCACTTGACGCAGATCATATTTTTCTTGTATCTGCTGCAGGATGCTGCACAACGGGATGTCTTCAAAAGACTGCAACAGCTGCCAGGAGTTGTGGCAGGAGGAACAGAGAGACTCAGAGGAATGACCCCGCTGTATCCCAACAGAACTCAACCTCCTGTTTCTCTTCAACTTTTCCCAGGAAGCCTCGGGTCCCTACTCCCAGCCCAAAGATGCCTCTGAAGCTGCTCACGCCTCTCTAAGCAGCACTGAGGTTGCAACGCTGCTGTTCAGACAGGAACTGAACCTTGCCTCCCTGTCCCATCCCCAACAGGGCTTCAGAAAGTAACTTCTATAGCGCCTAGATTGCACGACTGAGATTCCCAGACACCCTGCCCTGAGCCCCACTCAGGCTGATCCTGAAGGACTGGGTCTTAATTGCTTTCCAGTTGTCCACGTTCTTCAGAGGGTAGCCGATGATCAGCTGAATGCCCTTGCCACAGGCATAAGGAAGCCCACCCCAAAGCTCAATACTCCCAGTGAGTGTTCCTAGGAAGCTCGTCAACTTGAGTACCAAAAAGAAAACTTTTGCTCAACTTCCCATTCCACTTGCCCGGACTTCTTTGTAGGCCGGCCTTGCTCACACACTTTCTTTACCTCCATGTGAGGAGGCCTCCCTACAGCTCAGTGCCACCGACTTCAGACTGCCCCTGCCCCCCACCTGAGACATCGCCCTCCCATACCACACCATTTTGACCCGTACGGCTGGGCCCCTGCCAGAAGCACCACCTCACCTGTGCCAAGGCCAGACTGTAGCAGGGCCGGGCTGTTTCTCGCCCGACCCCGAGCCCAGTGATTAGGCGCTTCAGGGCGTATTTCATCTCGGACCCCTGCGGAACCAAGCGCACCCTTGTGTTGAACAGTGACAAGAATCGGCCCGCCCTCGCTCACCTTGGCTTCCAGGTTCGCGACCAGGTGCCCCCAGTCCCAAATCTTGGGGCCCGCCGCCACTTCCTCGCCCAGGTCTACGCAGCTCCCTGCCCCATACCTGCGGCCTTGTGCGCAGATACTCCAGCAGCTTCTCCGTGGCCTCCAGCCGCGTCTCCTGCTGCGGCTTCGCAATGTCCCAGAAGAAGTCCAAGAACTCGCGGCTGTGTTGCAGCAGGCCATGGCGGTCGGCAGGCAGGGCGCCGCTCTGCGTCACCTCTCCGGGAGACTTGAGCTCAGCTACGTCCTGACTGTCTATCTCCGCCATACTGCTTGAAACACGTGGGCACCGGACGCTGCTGCGCACGCGCACTGCGTTGGAGCGGCTAGGGGGCGGAGCCAGGAGAGGGGCGGAGCCAGGGCGGGGCCAGAGAATACCCGGCCCTTCCGCCCTCACTCCGGGGCGGAAAACTTTTCTTCTAGCCTTTCCAAGCTTCCGAGCACACTCCCTCTGCCCGAGTGGCTGTGGCTTCTGTCCCTTGACACACCGCTGGGGGCATCCCTGAGGACCCATCTCGGAAAGCAAACCCAAGTGAAGCAAATCGATCTATCTCGTCCCAGAGCGGCACCTGCGCTCCGAACATTTAGCACTGGGCAGTAACTGAGCTCCTACTGTGTGTGGGCCTCTGTGCTGCGCTGGGCTGTGGGAACTTTCCTGGATTTCCTTTCCAGTGGGAGGAGACAGATGATGAAAAGGTAGCCAGCTACATTTAAAAATATTGTGGTTATGAAGACAATAAAGAAGGAATGCAGGGGTCAGGGGGAGCCTTTTAAATTTTGAAACACGTGTATACATCACCTGTTAAAAACATTGCTAATTAAAAATAAAATTCAATAGGTTCTACCAAAACTGATTTCAGGGGGTGGTCAGGGAAGGCCTCTGTGAGGAGGTGACATTTGGGCTGAGAGCTGAGTGACAAGGACTCTTCCCTCCCCCCGCAAAGATCTAAGAGGGGACAAAATCCCAGGCATTGCAGCTACAAGACCCTGTGGCTGGATGGGATGAGGTTGAGGAGGTGAGTCAGAGAAACAAGGTTGCGCAGGACCCCAGGCCAGGATGGGAAGTGTGGATTTCATTCCGAGTGTGATGGGAAGTCATTTGAGGATTTTAAAAAGATGATGCTGGTTGCTGTGTGTGGGAGGGACTGCAGGTGTGCGCTGGAGGAAGTGGAAGACCAGTTAAAGACAATGGCGGATTGGACCAAGGTAAAATGAGAACAGGTCCTATTCATGCTGATTTGGAGCTAGTGGGATGGGTGATGGATTGGATATTGGGGGAGTACAGAAGAGGAGGATGTCGGGTTTGAGGCTGAAAAAACTGGGTACATTGTGATGCCATTACTGAGCTGGGGAAGAATTTTCTTTGGAGGGGGAGGTAGAGGTGGTGGGATCAAGAGTTTTATTAAATCGGAGAAGCCTTTTACAATGGCTGGGGAGGGGAAGTGCTACTGGCCACCCGTTTCTTGGTTGAGAGGCCGTTTCTAGAGGGTTGTGGTCCAGGGAGACCCCAGCCATAGCAAGGAAGTCAGGGCCAACCTCAGCCTTTAAATTCCACACATCCAGCTCCAGTCCTTTTGTACCAAAGCCCCTGGGACACCTTCTACTCACCCCTCGACCCGTTTCCTGCTCTGCTGGCTGTTCTAAAAAGTGAAATTAAGAGATTTTTACCTTGCATGTGTGGTGCCCCAGGAGGCAGAAGGTGAGTGGAGCAGGGGAAACTGAAAGACACCAGCCCAGGCTCTCCCCTGTCTGGGTGTTGGTCACCTGTGCTGCCCATTGGGGAAGCCCTGACACCAGGTGCCTCAAAGGCTGATGGGAAATTAACCAAGAAGCAGGAATGGCACTTGGCCTCCAGGAGACTTGATATTTATTTTGTGTCCAGTCCAGTTGAGGGAGATGAGCAGGGGGTGGCCTGAGGGGAGGATGGAGATGTCAACAGTACTCTGGGCTCTGCCTGCCCTGTCCCAGGGGGCCCAGAGCCTAGGCAGGGGTTCAGCATTCTTCCATCTGTCCTTCCCAGAGCTAGATATGGACTCAGGGCTAGCCACAGGCCCTGTTGCTCTTTGCTTCTTATCCTCAGTTTCCTTAGCTGGTAAAAGAGCCAGAGATTCCACCTAGTGGGGGTGATTTGAAGAATGATTGAGCTAGTCCTGGATGCCAGAACTCTAGTCCTGGTAACTGAGCAGGCCCAAGGCTGGGGTCCGAGCCACCAGTGAGTGCATAATCGATGTACACTCTTCCTGCACACCATCGTTGCTGGGTCTGCTCCGCTCCTGCCCCCAGGCTTGGGACAACTATACTCCCTGCCACGCCCCCTCTCCCTGTTAGAACCCCTGGAAGGGGCAGCAGTCACTGGGGACACTGGAGACATGGGCATGCTCTGCATGGGCTGCCACCTGGAGCAGGGTCCCTTGGCCACAAGCACTGGCACTCTCCATTTGTCCTTGCTGGGCCTGGTGCTGGTGCTGGGCCTGGGTTTGGGGCCCTGCCAGATGGCTGAGTAAGGCCTGAGTTATGGCTCTGGCCACATCAGGGGTTCCTGAAGCCACCAGCCCCAACACATCGGCCTCGGTGTCATCTGGGCTGCTGCGGAGGATGAGGGGGCAGGCCCAGGTGCTAGTTGCAGACCTGGCCACCAGGTTGCTCAGCAGAACCCCAGTGTTTGGGGACAGGTGTCCAGAGCCAAAGGAGCTGTTGAGTGAGGAGGTGAGAAGGAGCACAGAGCCACTGCTGTCCACAGTGGCCAGAATGCTGCTGGCAGGGGTCATGGCAGTTTGCGGGAGTGGCGGGCAGGGGTCCGGGTTGGGCGCCCCAGAGAGTAAGGCTGCCTCCAGCTGTGCCAGCAGTTCTGGGCCAGTGGAGGGGCCAGGGATGGTGAACAGGATGCCCTGGGGCATAGGTAGCTGCAGTGCTGGCTCCAAGATAGGCCTGGGGCCAGCAGAGGGTACCTCCACCCCCAGGTCTCTGGCCAGCAGACTCAGTAGGGCATCCCCGGCAAGGTCTGAGGTGGGGGCAAGTGCTGCCGTGTGTAGCACAGCTGCCAGTTTGGGGTTGGTAGCTCGGGCCCCAGGGCCCAGGGGCGTCCCATCGGCATGGCAAAGCAGCGGACAGAGGCCATCTGTGCCCCGAGCTGCCAGAGCCCTTGCCAGGAGCGTGTCCACCAGGAAGCCCTCTTGAGCCAGCGTGGTAGGGCCCACCAGGAGGTGTGGCCAGGGCAGGCGGCCGAAGCGTGCATGAAGCAAGTGCAGGGTAGGTAGAGCGGCAGGCAGTGCCAGGCCAGGGGCCAGGGTCTGGGCTGGGCCTGACATTAGGGCCATTGTATTGCCTGAGGAGCTGTTGTGGAAGAGGCCCCAGAACGTGGCACCTGCAGGAAGACAAAGGGGTCACACAGGGGTCAGGTGTGCTGGCCAGGACTTGGGTCAGGGTCACTCAGCAGCCTCAGTGGAAGGGTCATGGACTTGTTTGAGGTTGAGGTTACTGAAGGAGCCTGGGCTCAGGAGTTACTGACCAGGCCTGGGCTCAAGGGTCACAGCCTATGGTTGGGGCCACTGCTCAAATCCTAGGTCCTGCTGACTAACCAGCCTTGAGGTCACTGATCAGGCCCTGGGTTAGGGTCACTGTCTGGGGTCATGGGTCACTGACCTAGCCCTGTGGCATGAGGATGCACCACTGCCAGGCACAAAGCAGCTCCAACTCCTGCATCCACGACATTGCCCCCAGCAACAAGCAGCTCTCGTCCCAGGTGAGAGCACGTGGCTGCAGCAAGGAAAGGACTGTCATGAGGAGGGGCCTGGGACCAGTGACCCCTGACCCCCCCTCCCCTGAGCTGCCCCCAGTACTGACCTGCAGGGCTGATGATGGCACTGTGGTGGTATACACCTGGGTGGTGGGAGTGTCCGCTGGGTGGAGGGGCCACAGAGCCCAAGCTTCCTGTCGAACCGCCCTTAGTTTGGATCTGCCACACGGCCAGGGAGCAGCCAATGGCCAGCAACAGCAGGGCTGCCGCTAGTTGGGCCCAGGCTCTGGGCAGCCTACTGGGCTTGTTCCTGCAGAGGGGGGTGTTCTGAGCCAGGGTTAGGACAGACCCCCAAGAGAACCCAGGGAATGTTTTCCAAAAGGGTTTGATTTTATAAGAGGAGATAGTTTTCCAAGGAGAACAGGGCTTCCAGGCAGAGGGCATGGCATGGATGAAGACATGGAGGTGGGAAAGAGCTTGGGGAAACTGCAGGTAGCCAGGCAGGGCATCTCTGGAGAGGGGGTTGGAGAGGAAGAGTCCAGCCAGGGGTGCGGGAGGCCTGATGGGCTTGGTAGACAGGGGAGAAAGGGTGGGGGAGCTGGGTCCAGCCATGGGTAGCAGGTCCCAACCTGCCTAGCAGGTGCCTCCTGCACCAGGGGCTGGGGGCTGGGGATGGGACCTTTGACACAGCAGCAGACAGGACAGGGGATGGTTTGGTACAAATGTCCCTTCAGACCCACAGCCCTCCGATTGACTGCTCAGGCCAGGTCTGAGGCCGTAGCCTAGGTGTCCTCCCATTCAACCAGAAAGTTCCTGGAGCTGAGCCAGGCACAGAGTTGCCTGTCTGCCCTTAGGGGCTCCGGAGAGAGGGTCTTGCCAGCCTCAAGCCTGCGAGGCCAGGTGCCCAGACCCCTCCCTGACTCACCCAGAGGAGTCCCGGGGCCTCCAGGGATCGAGAACCAGTGGCTCCAATGTCTCCCCCTCTTCTTCCTCCTCCCCGGACTCCAAGCTCGGCTCCCAGAGCAGCAGCTTCTGATAGAGTACAGGCCCTGCTGCGGGGTCCATGGCCCCCCAGTGCCCGCCCCCGCCCTCCTGCCTGCCAGCCTTCCCGGCTGCGTCTCAGAGGCCCTACCTGAGCTGGGCGGGTAGGAGGTGGCGGCGGTGTTGGGGAAGGGTGGTGGTGGAATCTAGAACAGGTCTGGGCAGGGCACAGTGCCAAGGACACTGCGCATGAGCCGGCCCCATTAGGACACGGGCCTGAGGAGCTCTCATACAGGGTTCCCATGGTGTGGCTGCCTGTCAGGGGCCACAGCTCAGTGAAGTCAAGGAGGAGTTCAGCGCCAAGGTCACAGGCCTTGGGATGCAGGACACCTGCTCGGCCCCTCCCCTTGGGGGATGCAGCCCCTGGATGGCTGGCCTGCCAGGACTCTAGCCTAGGGACTGTGCACTTGAATTAGAGCCACAGTTACATGGTGGCCTGTGTCAGTGCTCATTATGTGACTAGGTTCTGGTGTGGAGGTGTCTGGTCTAGGGCTGGGGTCAAGGCTCAACGTGAGGCTGCTCTGAGGTCTGGGTTTCTCTGAGGAACAACTTGGGTGGCGAAGGCAACTCCCTGGACATGTTATGCGACTCCTGTCCAGCAGGTGGCGCCACAGACCTCCGCGGGGAACCACAGCCCGGAAACCGAGTCCCCAAGTTCCCTCACTCTGGGATCCTCGTCCAGGATCTGTTCCGCAGCGGAACAGCGCCGTCTGTAAGCGCCCGGGATTGGAAGACGGCCCAGAGCCCCATTATCAGTAGAATGAGTGATGTAAGTCACACAGTGGGATACACTGCAGCAATGACAATGAGCGAGCTGCAGTGCAGTGATATCCGAGAATCTTACAAACACGAGGGTGAGTGAGGGAAGACAGGCACGAAAGAGCACACACTATCTGCTCTCATTTATTGAAAGCGCAAAAACAGGCAAATCTAGTCCCCGCCATTAGAAGTCAGACAGTGACTGGAAGGCTTCTGGGATGCTGGTGATGTTATTTCTTAATCTGGGTATTGGTTACGTGGGCGTGCTGATTGTAAAAACGTACCAAGCTGTACAGTCGTGACGGATCCACTTTGCTGTGTGTATATTGTATTTCAATAAAAAAGTTTAAAAAAAAAGCGCTCAAGTATTTTTTACATTAAAACAACAACCACAAAAATCATCCTTTAATCCTATGTGATTCTCCAGCTGCTTCCCTTTCTCCTGGCCTCTTCTAGGGCAAGGACAGGGCTTCCTTAACTTTGGTGTGCGTCAGAGTCACCCGGAGAGCTTGTTAAGTGAGATCTCTGGGCTTTCCTCCCAGAGATTCTGACTCGAGATCTGGGGTGGGGACCAAGAATTCGCATTCCTAACTCCCAGACGATGCTGATGCCACGATCCTGGAACCACACTCTGAACAGCACCAGTCTACAAAAAGTCACGTCCACCCACTGTCTCTACATCCTCATCTCCTGTTTCTTCCCTTAACCCGCTACAAGCTGGTTTCTGTCTCCAAAGCCCTAGAGACAGAAACCAGGTTTTTGGATTTCTTGGACCAATAAAAAAGAAACAAATAAACAAAGCAACCCAATGGAGAGAGCGGCATAGGGTTGCCACCTTCTGATTTTGCCAAGGGTGAGGGGGAATCACAATTACCATCTGCTCTCATTCCATAAAGTAATTTGATTTTGCTTCCTGATAACACAATGTACGAAGGTTAGAATCTCAGAATGAAGGTTGGCCCTTCCTTCCTAAGAAAGCCATCTGGGGACCTTAGGTGTCTGCTGCCCCATCCTTAGCCTGGCCTCTGGATTCCTGGCACTCACTCCCTTTGTCCAGCAGACACGATTCTCAGCCCCTGCCCTGCCCAGCCAACATTCCCCTGTTTGTAGAGCTATGCCCTGGCGAGCTCTTTGGGACCAAGACCAGCACTGGTTGGGTCCCTGGGACCTTTCCCTCTGTGATTTTTCTCATTCCACAGCTTTGGACCCGAACAGTGCTAACCTCCATCCCCGTGTACCCCAGACATGCCCGTTAGCTAAGATCTGATTAGATGCCAGACAGGCCCCGGGGGTGAATGGTGCTCAGGCCAAAGCAGCTCCAGGGGCAGATAGAGCCAGTCATTTTGGGGCCGGGGGTGGGGGTAGGGGTCAGCATTGGCTTCAGGAGCCCTGGGTTCGGCCCAGTGTCTGCTACTGACCCACTATGTGACTGCAGACAAGACATTTAACCCTGACTCCACGTCTGTAAAATGATGGTACCAATACCTATCCTCCCAGGCTTGTTGTGAGGATTAAGCAAGAAAATACATTGAAAGCATCTAGGCCAGTGGTTAGCACAGAGCAGAGCCTCCAAACCTGAGTTCCTTCCTCTCTGCTCTATGGGCCTCAGTCTCCCCAGTGATGATTACGGATAATCACAGCCCTGCCACTACACACACATGCACACTCACAGGTGGCTCTGGGTCTGAAGTGGAAGACTGTAGATTCATTCATTTCTTCATTTTCTCATGCATTCATTCATTCTTTTATCCTAATGATTCTCAACCTTAGCTACATATCAGAATCATCTGGCAAGCTTCAAAAAATCCTAATACCTAGGCAGACCAGTTCAACAACTAAATTGGAATCTCTGGGTTAGAGAATCACCAGTTTTTAAAGCTTCCCAGGTGTTTTCGACGTGAAGGAAAGATTGAGAACCTATGCCTTATCTAGCCCTCTAGTCCAGTGGTTTCTGAAACTGGAATCACCTGTAGAGATTTTTAAAAAATACCCACATTCTGGCTCCTCCCTCTGCCCTAGCCCCACACCAATTGAATTAGTATCTCTGGAAGTGAGCCCTAGTCATTAGGATATTTTATAAAGCTCCCCAGATGATTCTTAGGGGTAGTCGGGCTTGAGAATTGTTGCTAATCATAATACTCTCACAGATGCTGTTAACAGACATTCACTGAGTAACTTTTCTGAGGAGAGGACAGTGAGGAGCCCGGGAAGCCACCAGAGCTTGGTTGCTGCTCTTCCAACCAGAGACAAGGAAGGGTGTGGGCCCAGCAATCAGCATTTCTACAATTCCCCCAAGCTCCAGAAAGGACTGTCTAGCTCATCATCTCTCTGGCTTTGAGCTGCCATGCATGCGTGTGCGTGTGTGTGTGTACATACGTGTTTGGAAGGCTTTCCCCAGGTTGACTGTATAATTGGCTGGGATTTGCCTTTAATTACAGAATGGAGACAATGAAGTGGGGTGGGGATAGAAGAATTGGCTTTTCCTTGTAAGGTATCTCTTTCTGTGTGATGGGACCAGAATATCAGTACAGTGTTTTTGTTTTTTCACATTTTTTTAAATTTAAGAGACAGGGTCTGGCTGTCACCCAGGCTGGAGTGCAGTGGCGTCATCATAGCTCACTGCAGTCTTGAACTCCTGGACTCAAGCCATCCTCCTGCCTCAGCCTCCGGAACAGCTGGGACTACAGGTGCACACCACCACACCTGTTAATTTCTAAAAATTTTTTTGTAGAGATGGGGTCTGTTGTCCAGGCTGGTCTTGAACTCCCGGCATCAACCAATCCTCCTGCCTCGACCTCCCAAAGTGCTGGGATTATAGGCATGAGCCACTGTGCTGGCCATTGGTACAATATTTAAAAAAAAATAATTCCAGATGATTCTAGTTGCAGAAACTACTAGACAGGATTTTTGAGCAAGTCAGGAACACAACAGACAGGGGAGGTGGTATTAGAATGAGGATACGCCATTTGCTAGGATAACTGTGCACTCAGGACGCGGAGATACCCACATCTTTCAGGGATTATTGGATGCTGGCTCTGAGTTAATAATTTCTGAATGCCACTGTGGTCCATTAGCTAGAATGGGACTTTGAGGGTTCTTTGATAAAGGGGAATTTGACCTATACTCCTTCATGGTAGGTCCAGAGGAATTCTTACCTCATACCGTGGCGATTTCCACCCTGAGTACGCAGTTGGCGTACACATACTGGGCAATGATCACAATCTTCACACTGTTTCTCAGGCTCGCAGAGTAAGAGCCTTTATCACACTGAGAGCCAAGCGGAAGCCTGAGGAATACTTCCTCCAAAGGCAGAAGAGTAAACCAAAGCAATACTGCATTCTTGGAGGAATGGCAAGGGCGAATGCTACCACCAGGACTTGAGAGATGAAGAGGTACTGATTTCTATCATATTTCAACTTAATTTAGTAATTTGTATAATGCAGAAAACAGACGGGCCTTGGAAAATAACAGTAGATATAATATTAATAAAAAGAGGTAACTCAAATTCAGCTGCTGTTCCAGGTGTTTATTTATTGAGGAAAATCAACACAGCTCCTGGCAAATGCTTTGTTCTCTATCCCAGTAACCAGAGAATCCAGAAGTCATTTGTTTTTACCCGGTACGAACAGCAGTGCACCTTCACAATCTTGCCCCAGAGTTGTGGCGACACAGCATCTAATGTTCAGTATCAGGGCTGCATGTTGGTGCTCAGAGGAGGTAAAGACAGTGGTGCCTTCTCCAGATATTTCTGCGATGTGATTTTGGGCATTGGAACTGGAGGCATAACCTCTGAGCTGGTTCTCCAAAAGCTCCCCCTACCCATCCACTTTCTGTGCCCAGAATTTTTATAACTCATTTCCCATTTAATTCAGGCCGAAGTGTATCTTTTGCTTACAATTAATAAACCTGACTGATGCACACACTTGCAGGAGTCCCTGGAGGTAGCGTAGCAAACATCACATGCAGCTTGAAGTGGGAGCAGGGAGGTAGGGCAGCACCATAGCACGTCGGACACTGGCTCAAAGTCTCTGAAAACTTAAAGAGGACAAGGAGGACATCTGTGCTTCCCTAACCCTGTTGGCTTCCAGGGAGAGTGTGTCTTAGACCCAGACTTAAGGGGGAAGACTCAGTCTAACGGAGGAAGTTCAATTCCATTCCAGTAGGAGGTCAGTGCTTTGTCAGTTTCTTTTCCTAATTCTTCCAAAGCAGAAGGGATGAATCATGAGGCACTCTTGGCGTCTCTTTCCTGTTTTTTATTCACTGCT